CAACCCATAATGTAACCCCTCTATAAAGCCGCTGGTGAAAAAATATAGGAAGTATCACATATCCAAACCCACAATCCTATAGCAGTAATCACATAGCCAGTGGCAGATCTTGAGAAGTTTTTATAGAAGAGCAAAGAGTATTTACATAATACAATATTAAAAGTTGCGAATTTCATGCGAGGGATTAAAATATTAAAAGGGATATGGAAGAGGCTTGCAGTGAATCAGAGCCTGAGCACTGAGCATGCATTTCTGTGTGATAAACTAAAATACGCATTTAGATTTTTGCAAGTAAACAAAAAAATCCTAGCTTGTTGACAGTGGAGTGGCGGGAAACCACTATAGAAGAAGGTAGAGAAAGAATATACAAAATAAAACACATGCAATAATATCTTTAAAATAATTAAATTCGAGACATAGGCCTTTCTTGTAAGCACATCATTTTTAGTATTAAATAGCACAGCATATTATGCAATAGCCATTTGCCAATCTTTCTTAATATCTATATATGGCTCTTCCAACAAACTTGTTTGAGGCATTATATTTAACAGCAAATAGCATAACAATTCTGCTCAATTACCAACATAAACAGACTTACAAAATTGGAGAAAGAATCTCCAGCAGGGGGAACATTTAACCAATCTCCCTTTTTTGACTCAAAGCGCGCTGGAGCTATAATTCCAAACACCAGCACAGAAGGATTAGTACTTCTCATATAAGTATGCACCCAAAAAGTCAAAGGGCCAAGGAATTTCATAAGAACAAACTGAAATAGTTACCTAAAATCTTCGAGGATAGCGAGTTAATTTTGGACACAGCACGATGTTCTCTATCAAATAAACAATGGAACAAACAAACATAGAAGAAGCTTTAAAATTTTGCCCTTAAACAATGAGAAAGCAAGTGGAAATTGAACCCCAATCAGAATGAAATAGAACATACCTGAAATAGATATCTAATTTGAGGTCACCATGAATCACATGAACCTTGGATTTTTTGAGCAACTCACAAACATCAGCAATTGCTTCTTCCATAGCCACCTGAAAAGAGGTAAAGAAATACTATCAGCTGTTCAGGAGTTCATTATCATTTTGCTGATTAATGGTAAAATACCAGTAAACCTACGTACATTTTTCTGCATTGAGCTACAATACAGGCCCAAAGCATCACCAGCTCTCTCAAATACGTCAAGTAGTTGTCGTGCATCTATAAGAATGTTTTTGTACTCAGCTTGTTCACTTCCAATGTCAGTTTTAGAAAATGAATCGATCTCATTTGCTAAGCGTTGGTGAATGGTCAAGCCTACAAAACAACAGAGAAACACTATAGTTTATAATATTGGTTCATAGAATTAGCATATAGATGCAATTTACACTATACCTGTGTCAAACGGAGCCATAACCTTTTCTCGGGCAACCAAAAGCAGAGCCCCAAACTGTTTCAATGCTCCAAAGTTAACAAAAGTCCAAGCAATATCGTTGATTGAATCAGTGTATTGGGCAAGCAACCGTGCAGAGTCCAATATCGGTTTCTACATCAAATTTTGTTTAAAGAAATGTAAGATTGCATAACCTTGAAGCAAATAAGAAATGTAAGATTGCATAATTTTGTTTTTCCTTACCTTTAAAAAAAAACAAAATAAAAATGGACACAGGCCAAAAAGACTCATCGTTAATGGCAAATGATACTTGCTATCTAAGGAGCCATTGCAAGCTTTAAGAGAGAATAAGTCAATTGAAAAGCTTGATGGACTAAAATTGTAATAATAAACAACTTAAAAATCAACTTCCTTTCGATAGACTGAAGTTGATAAATCAAAATTAAATGTGTTTACAACATTGGTGAAAGTTTACCATTGGAGTGGAAAATTGATGTAGCTAGATTAAGCACCAAGCTACGTTGCTTGATTTTTCAAAGATAATATCACCCATTAAACATATGACATGTGTATAATAAAAACTATTTTAATTATATATAATTTTTCCAAGCTACAATATGCTAGTATTAACCATTGGAGCACTTTGTAGCTATAAAATATATTAGCTTGAATAGTTGATGTGGCAAGGTAACCATTGGACATGCTCTTAAAAAACAAGAAGAGTGAGAAATAACCAACCAACCGTTTTCCATTGGCAAAGTAAAATAATAAGTTTGATGAGATAGTCGCCGCGAATCCAAGGGTACAAATGCTCCAAATAACTCAAATGGAGCAGGACAAAATGGATTGGAAGACCGTGTACTGATGCAAAAGAGCAAGTGACATTAACAAGAGGAATAGCGTTGCATCGGTTGAGCATTAGATGAATAATTTGAGGGTCGGGACAGGAATGAGCAACATAGGTGAGAGCATTAGATGAAGGTGAGTGATCATCAACAAGTGCAGGAAGAGCATCGCATTCGCATACTTCCCCATTGAGCAACGCAAGCAAACACTTCTGGGCACCAAATTCAGCACACTTTTCTACCAAAGATTTCGTAATCTCACTTGGATGTTTTTGAATCAGCTTCACAAAACGACCCTTGCTATCGCTATCAAGGGTCCTTTCCAACATATCACTAAATCCTCCACCTTTTCTCATCCTTTATCCACAAATTAGGACTTCCTACATATTCCAAAACAATGGCAGACAATTAAAGCTCGGTTATTTCACAAAAACATAAATTCTTCATTTTTTCACAATTTCTGAACAAAAAGACTCCATCTTTTGCACAAAAAAAAAAAGAAAAAGAAAAAGACTCCATCTTTATCAGATCTGATTCACGATTAATAAATCCACAAAAGACACTCAAACAAAAGCTTATAAAATCATTCCAACAACAAAAAAATTAGCAGAAACACGAAACCAGAAAAACCAAAATTGAGTATTATAAATGGAAATTCACTTGCAAAAATCTCATCAACGGTACTGGCTAACCTTCAACTCTGCAGACAACAAGGCAGGGAGAAGAGAGAGACGAAGATATAGTCGTATCCTGAATTTTGCCCTAGTTGTTACGAGTGGTTTTTTTTTTTTTTTTTTGGTAAAGGAGCAACAAAGGAAAGGTGTGTGAGAGAGAGAGATAGAGAGACCAAGTAGGCTTCTCTTTAAGTTTTTTTTTTTTTTTTTTTTTTTTTTTTTTTTTTTTTGAGGTCATCATGTAACTATATATATACTTCTGGTAATTATATCAATTTGACACCATTTACCCATAGGTCACTATATATAAAAATAAGATAACAATATCAATTTAACATTTATACAGAGGTCAGGTTAATTTATTAATTTTGACTACATTTTAAAAGATCACTACATGTAAGCCTATGTAGGATTCGAACCCACATCATGTGCACAATATAAGTACACAATGCTCGACCAATTGAGCTAATAGACTTTCGGCACACAAAAACAATAAAGCTAATAACTCATAAATTTTGCTTAACGAACCACACAGCATATATGTAAAGCTTTTCCAAATGTACTACAGTCATCCCAAACAAATATATCAACCTTTTCATTATAATTGCGTCAAAAATATCCGAAGCCATAGTTTATGCGGTACCAACACAGGGATCATATTTACACCAAAATCTCCCAGCTTAACCAATAAACCACCATAGAACTCTAATCCTTTTTCATCATGCAAGTGAGCAATACAAGAAAGACAAGATAGAGAGGCTTACAACACTTTTCTGGAAAGAATAAAGATATACTTACATTTATAATCCCTTCTTCACAAAAGGGATTATCCTAACACATCCAAATGAATTGCCAATTCTCTCATGTCCAAATTATTCCTGAATAAAATGGCAAGGGTTACAAAATAATACTGTAGATTAATAGCTTTAGGCTATTACTCTCTTTGATACTTTCGATTATTACTCTCTTGGTAACTTTAGCTTATCATTCTCTTTCATTCCACAATACAAATCTCACGCCTTTCTACTGCTATGCTACTTCCCTTTTATAATCAAGCAAAACTACAAAAATAATCTAATATTAATAATGTTTGTCCTTTACTGCTCAAGAGTATCAGAATTTAGTCCCATGTTGCCACACCCCTTAGGGGTGCTCCCTTAATTAGTTTTGTCTTCTTTTGCTAAAGGGTCTTTTGCCCCCTTTTGGGTTCATTACATTTGCCCTAAAGATGGCAGGTCCTATTCAAAACTTCAGAAGTTGGCATCAGAAAGAGAAAAATGAATAATACAAAAAACTAGATGTATGAAGGGGCAATGGAAGCATGAGAAAAGCGTACCTCCCATCAGATTGTTGAAGGTTTCTCATAGATCTCAATATGGATTCAGAATCAAACAAAGAAAAATCATAGCCAAGGATCTTCAGTATAGCTAATGCACTATACATGCTTGCCAAATGACTACTGTTACAATTTAAATTCTGCAGCAGCAGACAAAGAGTAAGAAGAGCTATAATCAGCTTCTTATGACCTTTGAGCATAAATCATACCCAACCCAAGTAACTCCACATTATTTGAATTCAAAACCAACCGTAAGAGCATATGCTGGAAACTGTGATGACCTCAAACCAAGAAATCCATAAAATTGTCCTGTCATCATAATAGTACATCAAACAATTGTGTTATAAAATTTTGATCCAGGATAATTTAACAAGTCTACCTGGTAATTCCAACCCCTACCCCTCTCGAAAAAAATAAAAAGAAGAAAACCACACAGACTCACTTGCATCAACACAACCATCAACACCACCAAAACCCCCAAACATAGACCACCACCACCACCGAAATCCCCAAACCACGGATTATTATACAGAGGCCACTAGATATAAAAATAACGAAGGTCACTATATATAGAAATAAGGTAACTATATCTATTTTGATAACACTTGCACATAGGTCAATATATATATATATATATATATATATATATATATATATATATATATATATATATATATATCAATTTTGATGGCACTTCCACAGAGGTCATTATATATAAAAATAAGGTAACTATATGACATTTACACAAAGGTCATTATATACGAAAATAAGGTAACTATATATAAACTTCAGGTAATTATAAAAGTCGTTATAAATAAAAATAAGCTAATTATATTCATTTTTACTACATTTTAAAAAGATCACTACATGTAAGCCTATGTAGGATTCGAACCCACATCATGTGCAATGCAAGTGCACAATGCACGACCAATTAAGCTAATAGGCTTCCGGCACACAAAAACAATATACTCCATAGCTATTAACTCATTGTGATGTGAGGAGGGCAGTAGGGATACATCACTGTTTCAAAATTGGGCCTCCACCAGTTAGCAACACACTCACCAATCTGCAAAATCACATAATTTAGACCCAAATATTTTTAAGGTATACGAAGTATGTCTCTACAAGAAATTTGCTTCAAATCAACATTTCAGAATAACAGCAAAAAGAAAAAAGAAGAGTGTTCGAGACAAATAATCAGAAAGAATATCACACAAAGAACACAAAAGTATCACACCTGCCAATTATGTGGAATAAGCATGCAGTCCAAATGAACGCATTCCAAGTGTCCAAACAAATCATGTTGATTTCAGGCAGAAATTTGAGAATTTAGAAAAGCTTGCAGGAATGATAACATCATCAATTTTTAGCCGAAGGTGTTCTTGGGCTGTTATCCTCATGTTTTCAGCAGCCTTTTCATGAAAAAGATAGATTCTTCTGAAATTAATAAGGCTGTATCCCATGAAAGCTTATTAACTATCTAGCAAGAGAAAAATTCATATACCTTTGGGGCTGCTTGGGCAGATTTCCATAATATTGCAACGCATGCTTCAGGAATGTCAAAAGGGAAATAATAAGGTAAGCATGTATTGGAAAATGATGAAGGAATTTGAATAATAATAAGAAACCAAAAATAGACAATAGATGCGAAGAAAACCTAGCAACATAGAAAGCAGGATTCTCAAGCATAAACAATTTATTGCAGCAACAGATGGCCAGAGCTCCCCCGAAACCACCTTCACTGGTGACTATTGAGATGACAGGAACTCTCAGTCCAAACATAGACCTTATGTTTTGAGCTATAGCTTCACCCTGCGCTCAGAGAGACAAATCATTTCATCCTCATTACCACAGGTTTAGTCAATATAAACTTAAAATAAACTAGTAGTTGTCTACTCACCTGACCAAGTTCCTCAGATTTGAGATCAGCATAAGCTCTTGGCGTGTCAATAAGTGTAATTACGAGAAAACCATGATGATCGGCATACTTCAATTTTCTGTCTCCTTCACATGTAGAAATCTGTTTAATATTTGCAATGGAAGCCTCAATATATGCAATGGAAGCCTCTTTATAAAGCCTTAAAAGTACTAAACATAAGGAAAATATAATCCAAGAATTTATACAATTTCACCAAGTTCAGCTTGCTAGTTCCCAAAAATGTAACCCTATTTCTCATCTTTACTCTGCATCAAAATGCAAGGCAGTACAATCACAAGAAACAGATGCTAAACTACTCGAATTCCCCCATGAATCCGTGACAACAAACCGACCAAGCAAAAGGCACAATGAAGAGCTCAAGATTGCTCTAATCCCCCAATTTTACATAAATTCAAGGGTCACAAACTCACAATACATGACACATAAAATCTAAAAACAATTAAATGCTTGAATCGACAAAATTCGCATGCTATTCAACAAATTTCGAATCCAAACAACAATTTATATTTCATAACAAAAACATTCGAGCAATTAACTAGAAATAAACCCTAGATTGTGAAATTGATAGTCGATAATTTAAGAAATACTACCTGAGAAGCCGCTTCAATGGAGAAGAAAGCTCAAACTCGCTTCAATGGAGGATCGAGAAAGCTCAAAACTCGCTTCAATGGGATGAATATTCAGCGACGAAAATGATTAACTCACATAATTGATTGTTGAAACGCAAAACTCACTTTTCAGGTTTAATTTTGAAGCTAAAGACGAAATTGATGAAGATTGAAGCAAATTATTGATGAAGATTGAAGCAAATTCCTCTGAAATTTGATGATTTTTTGGGAGAAGGATAGAGAACCAGTGAGATCGTGAGATTGAAGAAAGATAAAAATAGAGCAGAGAGAATGGACGGTCAAGATTACAAATAACGCGAATGTAATCTAATCCGTCACATGAAAATTCAATGATCTAGATCATCTGTTTTCAGTTTTCAACTTTAAGTTTGTTTTCACATGATCCAATCTATATATATATATATATATATATATATATATATATATATATATATATATATTATACTACAGTTAGAGTTGATCACACTAAGCTTAGTTCGATTTTAGGCGGGTTTTGGGCAGAATTTTTCAGCCTGAAATCGGGTCGGGCCCAATTCGGCCCGATTTTTAAAAAAATTTGGGCGGGTTTGGGAAATGGATTTTATTGATTTTATTTGTTTTTTTTTGCCCGGCCCAAAATTGGTCCGAAAAGCCCGCATGACCCGACTAGTTTGGGCGGGTTTGGGCACATATTTTTCGGCCCGAAGCTTGGCCCGACCACCCGGCCCGAGGAATGGGTGAAATTTTCTGACCTCGGCCCGACCCGCCCAATGATCACCTCTAACTACATTATAATTTTGCAGGTTGTTCGGTTCATTTGTGAATACAAGAATATATAGGCATTATCAATTGCGATTGTTGAGGTATGCTTTATAATTTTTCTTCTAAATTTTAATTTCCTTTGTTTGGTCAGTAAGAAGTTGTAAATATTCCGCTACATGTAAATATTGTCGTGATTATCGAAGCTCTCAAAGATGCAAGGAATAAAAATCTCATTTAATAGAAGAGTTACGAAGTACTCCATCCTTTTATAGTAAGTTTTTTTGTGTGATTTAACAAAATTACTCTTACTTTTTTTTAACACCCTAATTAAACTACTGTTTTTATCTTATTAACTTAAACCCTACATTGATTAACTTAACCATTTCCACCAAAAATCATTCCCTTCCCAATTAAATTTATCATCACCTTCAATTGCCAAACACCCCCGCTACCATCACCACCACCGATCTCCATTATGATTTTAATTATTGCGAGCGTGATCCTTTGCTCAGGTTTTTTCGCGGTGAGTCGGACTCACCAAACCCCAACAGCGGTATCGGAGCCCCACTCGTTTATTTTTATTATCATGTTTTTTCAAGGTTATTTATGGCTTATAATTTTAATTTTTTGGTTTTAAGTTGCTAATTAGATTAGTGGCTCGGTTTTATTATTTTAATCCCGTTTTTAAATGCGAAATTGGCCCAGAACCCTGATTTTTGCCCTGAAATAGTGAATTTTGGGTGGAAAAAACGTTCTGGAAATGTTTTCATCCTTTTGGGGCTGTGATTTTAGCTAAATTCGAACCAGAAATGCCGAGGGATTTTTCGTTTTGACAAAATTTTTTTAAGTCTTTCTTACCTTGAATTTGATGGCATAATATATGGTGATTATGTATTGATTTATTTGCATTATTTTTCTGCAATGTTAATCTCTTTAAAGCATATTTACTTGGTAGTATTTTGTGCTTAAAAGATTGATTATTTTTCACCTAATTGCAAACTAATTGCATTGTATTGTGAAATCTTTGTTTTTGAGGCTTCCAAAGTGCTAAAGATTCAATCTTTAATTATTTTAAGTGATTGAAACTTTAAAGTTACTAAATTCCATGAATTTTATGTTGAACTTTGTTGTTTTAATCATTTTTGGTTGATTGGAAACATAAAGTTTCAATCTTGTGATAGAAATTTGTTTATCTTCATATTGGAAGATATAATTTTTTCAAGAATTCACAAGTGTTAGAAGTTGGATTTATCATTTGAACATTAAAGTTCATAATTTTCCAACTCCCTCTTACTTTGTTAAAATCTCAAGATTAATTTAAATTGATTAAATTAATAGTGAGAGGTTGCCTTAATTATTTTATTGTACCAAGTTAAACTAATTTTATTAAAGAATGGTTCTTGGAATAATTTTGGTTGAATGCACTTTGATAAATTTTATTTAAGTTAGACTTGTTTAAATTTTTTCATTTTGCTCATTGAATTAGTTCTAAAAGTAATTTAGAATTAATAATTTGTCACGCAAAATTGGGATTGAAATCCCGAGACTATGGCACGTAAAACGAGGTAAAAACCTCACTTGGCTAGCTGGCTGCATAGCAGCCCACATGTGGCTGCCAAGGAGGCTACCCCTTCTTGCTTGTGGCCATGTGCGTGGCTGCTACTCGCTGTCAGCAGCATGGCGTGCCAGCCAGTAATAAGCAGTAACACAGCACAGTAGCAGCATGGTGCTGTGCGTGCTGCCATGCTTTGCTAACCGCGACAGGTGCGAGCACGAGCAAGAGTGTGTGTTCTTTGTGTTGTGTGGTGTGCGGGGGTGTGCTGCGATACTTGCGGCATGGTGCGCATAGCTAGCAAGCTTGTGCGGCCTCGTGGCTTGTGTTCTTGCACGCTCCGTAGAAGAGTCGACACCCATGCGGTAGTCTAAGCTATGTGTGTGACGCTTAGCATGAGTCACGGCTATGCGGACCTCCCCTTAATTAGCACATATACCACGTTTTATGGCAGAATTGTTTTGCATTTTGCCGTTTTATTTATTTTAATTAATCTTGTTTATTTTAATTAAAATTTTTGGAGACTAGGCCTCGGTTTTGAGCGGCGTTGGCAAATTTTGGGTTCTACCGGCTTAATTAATTGGATTAATTAAGTTGGATGCGGAATTTAGTGGGAGCTTCAATTATTAATTACGTCAATTACATAATCGGTTAAACAACTTTGACTAGTTTTAATTAGGCGTGTTAATTGGATTAACCGCCTAGATTAGTTACTAGTGCGCGCATGTAATTTATGCATTGTTACTTGTTTATCGTTGTAAAATGCATGGACCATTCACAAAATAGTGAATGGATGAATGGAATGTATATTCTCTCACAGGTTTTATGAAATGACAACTAGTAGGACCCGATTAGGATAGAAAATATGGATTACGTGTCGTGATGTATTTTTGTAAATCTAAATACAGTCTACGCACCGTTAAGTATTTTTGTACCTTAATATTTAGATTAGTCCTAATCGTAGATACTAGTAGTTGCATAATTTTGGTTAAGTCTTGAAGACAGAGGTTCTTGGAAGATGAAGCCATGAAGTTTCAAAAGAAGACCTTTTGAAGACTTGAAGAATTCAAGGGGTCATGCTAGTTTCCAATATGCATCATATACTTATGCTTTATATATTTATGCTTGTGCTTATATGTGTAGGGAATATTTCAAGCATTACCCCAAACTTGAACCCCACCGTGATCATACACTTAAGCATGGTGGCATCCAAATGTAAGGAAGCTAGAACAAAAGAGTCGCAAACAAGTTTTAGGAACTTGTAAACCGTTTACAGGGTGAAGGTTACACCCTTTAACGATCCAAGAGATCGTTAACTCCAATAGGGCTGGGACCGAGACTGGAATTTCGGGGATGAAGGTACAAATTCAATCTAAAAGAGAAAGAACCTGCCCTAATAATAGGCCTCTACTTTATTCTTCTCGTATTCATGTGCGCTTTCTGACTAACATGCAATCAATAGGTTAACCCTAAACCTGTTTAATCTATGTTGGTTGAATATTAATGCACAAATAAAACTATTATTGGCGATCACTTGAATTATAATCATATTATCCCTAAATAAGATTATTAATTATCGTATTAAGCGTGATTACAAGTACAAATTCCTTTTAAACATGCATAAAAGGTGTGATCAAGCAATAACAATAAATATCAAGCAACATAATAATAATAATAATCATAATCACAATCATAAATTAAAATAATCATGCTAACAATAAAGCATAATAATATCAAGATCCTAGGCATGATACTAACAAGATTAATAACAAACCCTAGCATGTCACTAAACATTAAAAATCAAAGCTTTAGCCCTAACATGATACTAACATGATATTAGGAAAGAAAATAGGAAGCATCTGTAGACACCCATTTGTGTCTTCCC